ACCACCACCACCACCCCCGCCACTAGCCCCGCCGCCACCCCCACTCCCTCCGCCGCCACCGCCGCCACCGCCACCGCCCCCTCCAGCTCCACCCGCGCCCTTGCCCCCCTTGCCCTTGCTGGAGCGACGTCTCCCACTAGGGGCAGACGCCGCGCCGACCGACTCAAGACCAAGCAGGTCGGCAGCAGCAGCAGAGGCAACAGAGGGCAGCAAGGGGGAAGGAGAGCACCCCTCAAAGATGGGGGTGCGAGGGTCACCACGAGAAGCACCTACAGCGACTATGCTCTTCTCCGCTGCAAGGAGGGCCTTCTCGAGGAGGTCGACGGTGAGAGTGGTGGGACAGACTGCGAGAAAGTGGTCCCTGACGACACGAAGGGAGTCAGGGAGGCGTGCGACTACGTAGTAGAGAGCGATGTACATGGGGGGGGGGTTCTTAGCGCAGAACTCAGCAGGAAGGGCGGCGCGGTAGCGAGTGTCACTAGTGCGGAGGTGCGTAATGAGGTCAGCGACAGTGGGAAAGGCAGAGAGGTCAGGAAAGAGGTAGGGAAGCATGAGACGGCTCAGTGCAGCAGTGGCAGGGGAGGAGTAGCGCGCAACTACAGCGTCGTACAAGGTCTGAGCACTCTTGTACTGACTAAAGTGCGCACGCTCAGAGGTAGGGAGGTGGCGACGCACAGCAAGACGTGCAGCAGCATCGCGAGTGGCCCACTTAGAGCGGACAGCGGGATCAGCATCAGCAGCAGGGGCAGGAGAGGCGCCAGAGGTGAGGTCAAAGAGAGAAAGGTCGTCAGCCCTGTCGCACTGTAAGAACAGCTGCAGGTCGTCTAACCAGACCTCAAAATCAATGGCGCGACCCTCAGCGTCAAAAGCTAGGACACTAGGGGTAGCCATGACGACGACTGTGAAGCAGTGCAAGCAGTAGGGGGGAGAGCACGCAGTGACAGTGGGACTGTGCTCACCAGGCAGGGCAGGTCGCGCAGCTCGACAGAAAAGCAGAACGGCGACCGGGCGGCTCAGGTGTACAGCGGCTCGGCTCCCGGGCGGCTCGGCGGCAGGGCGGCTCGGGTGCAGGGCGGCTCGGCTCCCGGGCGGCTCGGCTGCAGGGCGGCTCGGGTGCAGGGCGGCTCGGCTCCCGGGCGGCTCGGCTGCAGGGCGGCTCGGGTCCCGGGCGGCTCGGCTGCAGGGCGGCTCGGCTCCCGGGCGGCTCGGCTGCAGGGCGGCTCGGGTCTCGGGCGGCTCGGCTCCCGGGCGGCTCGGCTGCAGGGCGGCTCGGGTCCCGGGCGGCTCGGTGACAGGCGGCTCGGGTCGCGTAGAAGTGAGACGGGGCGGGGCCGCGTCAGGGCCGGCGGTAGGGCCGCGTAGGAGCCGGGGCAGGGCCGCGAAGGAGCCGGGGCGGGGCTGTGATAGGAGCCGGGGCAGGGCCGCGTAGGAGGCCGGCGGTGTGGCCGCGTAAGGGCCGCGTAAGGGCCGCGTAAGGGGCCGGTGCGGGGCCGCGTAAGGGCCGCGTAGGAGCCGGCGCGGAGCCGCGTAGTGGCCGGGGACGGGGCCACGAAAGGGCCGGGGCTGGGCCGCGTAAGGAGCCGGCGAGGGGCCGCGTAGGAGCCGGCGGCGTGGCCGCGTAAGGGCCGCGTAAGGGCCGCGTAAGGGGCCGGCGCGTAAGGGCCGCGTAAGGGCCGGGGCGGGGCCGCGTAAGGGCCGCGTAAGGGCCGCGTAAGGGGCTGGCGTGGGGCCGCGTAAGGGCCGCGTAAGGGCCGGGGCGGGGCCGCGTAAGGAGCAGGCGGCGGGGCCGCGTAAGGAGCAGGGCGGGGCCGCGACAGAGTGGGCGGCGAGGCCGCAGAGGAGAGAGCGACTCGAGGGGTCGCTAAAAAAAATTCGCGCCTCGGGGGCGCGCTTCGGTGGGCCCAAAAATTTCGGTCCTGGAGGGACCTAGCTCTATACCATGTGAAAAGAGTAAGCAGGAATGAATGAACTATGAATGAAAGCAGTACAAATATGAAACCCTAACTGGGTTGTACCCCCTATGGGATACCCCACTACAGCCTACACAGCAGTATAAGCTATAGATATGTTCTGACATTGACCCCTTCAATGGACCTCTTGTACATATACCTAGGCCCAGTTTGGCAGGCATAAAAAAAACGAGCGAGGGGGTTGGGCTACAGTGATTCGACCACCCTGGAACCTTCTTTGATAAGCGCGTTAAACGCTATCAAGGCTCGATATAAGTGGACTATGCCGAACCTGACAATAATGGAATGCCAACCAAACACCCCTTTTTTTGCAGGCGTTCTCAACCGCCGGAATCTACACCCAAACGAATTTCTCTGGCAAAGTGCCCATTTTCTTATCCCCCGCACCATGCGGCCTCGAGGCCACGCACTATGCGGGGTATCAGTGATTCGGGGCAATCAAAAGTGAATGGTCAAATATGCCAGCCAATCACATGATCACGCGAACCATCATGGCAACTGCTTACCAACTTCTGCAAAACCCTAAATTTAGATAGATGCTATCAATCTACACCCAAATAATGCCAACCAAACACTCAGCCCCGTTTTTCCGAATGTGCACTGCAGCTACAATCCGATTTCGATGCAGTTTCCAGAAATGCCCAGGCGGCATTTTCTGGGGACCCGTTAGAAATGCCTATTGTGGCCATAATGGCCATGATGCCTGCCAAACAAGGCCCTACTGTAAATAAAGCGGGGGCCCGAATTGCTCATGCGCAAACAGAACGAAGCCTTGGTTGGTGGTTCCTTGGACGAGGCGGTGCGGATAGGGGAGTGGTTGCGAAATTACGCAGGAAATTATGTAAAATCCTGAAATCCTGCGATTTGGACTGTTAAGCTTGGCTGACCGGCTTGAAAGCTGCTGCTGCCCCAGTCGGGGTTATTGCAGCATTTTGGTCCACGGGCAGCATTGTGTCAGCCACCGATTGGTTGACTACTGGAATTTCCTTCTGCAACAATGCATGTGTTTTCAACGAGCCGCAAACCAAGGCGCTTGTTCACCACGCGCCACAGTCAACTTATCAGCTGAAAGAAGCAAGGAAGCCGTTGGCAATGCTAGTGTAAGTACACGACAAGAGGTAAACGACAGATCGATGTGATTGGCATCCAATTTTCAGGGGGCAAGCTTCCCTCGCAAGCCTTTCCGCCGCTCGACCAATCACATTCGCTTACAAAACGACCAGCCTGCTCGCACGTGGCAAGTTGAACAATCAAGGTTATCAGCCTTGTACCGAGTATTTTCTTCGTGTAACAACAATCAACTTTCGCGAAAATGCATCCTGCCATCTTCGACTTTTGGTGAGCTGCAACCATGCTACCTATGCATATGTTCTTACATCATTCTGTCATACTTGTACATCAATAAATTGACTAAAACTGACTAACGAATCGAATTACATCGCGGTAATGCGACCATCTGCACTCCTAACACATGAACTATCTTCTGGTCATACAGCTACCTGTCTATTTCTTCCGTTCTCACACCATGGCGGACTCAGCTGATAAGTGCGTATATGATTCCTGTGGGATCGTCCGTGTGTTTTACTTCCTTCTTGGTTTGTCTTCGTAACTTTCCGTTCTTACCCTGCTGTCTGGCCTTACAGTTTCTTCCAAGACAGATCTGCGTCTCAAATATTCGTTTCCGTTATTCTTGTTCGCTTTCCTTTTTTTTTCCTTTAACTTGTTTTGGTTTTTATTTTATATTCCCCCCCCCTCCCCCCCCTTATTTTCCGGAATATTTAACCGCACGGTTTTTAGTTTCCTACTTCCTTCTCTTCTTCGCCTGATAAAACCCTATCAACCTGTCAGAAAACGTAGCAAATGGGATCAAGCGGCCGATCCAGCAGCAGCAGCAGCCGCAGCGCTTTCCACAATTCCCTCCGGAACCTCCCCCGCCGCAATCGCCGCCGCAGCCGCCGTCGCCGCGTCGCTAGCAGCCGCGGGAAAACCCGTCCCTACCGGGCTTTCTCTCTTGGGAATGCCGGGGATGATGCCAGGCCAGATCCCGGGCGTTACTGGCTCGGCAGCTCCAGGTCCGGCGATGCCGAACCTGGACGACGCCAAGGCCAGGGCTGAGATGATGGCTCGGCAAGTGAACGAAGAGTTAGCGAAGCGCGGGATAGGCGTGCAGCGGAAGCCGGAAACGGCGGCGGCAGGGCCGCCGGGAAAACCGCCGCCAGAGGAGGTTGTCAAGGAGGTGGTCATTAACGAGTGTAACCCTAACGTGCGCTATCAGCTCACGCGGCGCGGCACTCAAGACGATGTGAGTAGACTCGAAAGTGATGAAGATTTCTGGAGGTAACGCTAACTCTCGTTTCCTACCTGATCGCCGCGGGGACGATGTGAGTGAATTGTTAGGTGAATGGTCATCCACGAGTGTAACCCTAATGTGCGTCGGCGGGACATTTGATGCGACACTCAGCACAACTTGACACGCACCACAAAACCCTACGTCGTCACCCCTTCCCATCCCGTGCCACCCCTTCCTATCCCTTGCCGCGTCCCCGCATGCTTGTCCCCAACTGCAGATTCACCGCAAGACGGGCGCGGTGATTTCCACCAGGTACGCCTTTTGTCCGCCTGCGCTTCTGCAACACGTGTTGTTGCAATGCGTTTGGTCGATTCGTCTCATCAGTTGAAGTGCAAAGCCTAACCGGCGCGAATTTCCTTCTGCGCTTTGGTTTGTGCCTTGCGACACGTTTTGTGACATGGACCGTATCTAGACTTAGTCATTACGTCTCATGCATGATTCACTTGTGTGGATCCGACATGCATCATCACCACACCACATGCCATGCCACCACCACGGATTGCAACTATCCAAGCTCCTTGTTCCTGTGTTGCTCTGCTCTTCCCTTTCCATGGTCGTTGTTCTCTTACGCCTCGTTTTCTCCATGTGCCCTTCCCCCATGTCCATCACCCCTCATCGTCCCGTCCGCCCTGTCCGCCTGCTTGCATGTCCGCCTTACCCCCAGGGGCAAATTCTGCAACATGAACGATCCGAAGAATCGCGACCGTCCGTTGTATCTGCACGTGTCGCCATCCACCGAGGTACTCCTGTGTCTCCCTCCCTCCCGTCTCCCTCCCTCCCGTCTCCCTGCCTGCCGTCTCCCTGCCTCCCGTCTCTGTGCCTCCCGTCTCCCCGCCTTCTATCTGTCTGCATTTTTTCTTTGAGGCGTATCAAAGTCGTCTTCCTGCCTTAAACCTCTCTGCAATCCTCTTGCTTTTCCATCTCTCCCTTTCCCCTTTCCCCCCTTTCCCCGTTTCCCCCCTTTCCCCGTTTCCCCTCTTTCCCCGTTTCCAACCTTTCCCCGTTTCCCCCCTTTCCCCGTTTCCCCCTTTCCCCGTTTCCCCCTTTCCCCCCTCTCCCCCCTCGCCCCTCCCACGTGGGCAGGTAAGACGCCTGAGGAGAAGCAGCGGATGGAGGACGCTGCTGTGCTGGTTTGACTTTTGAGAATTCTCAGAAGTCAAACCAGCACGGATGGAGGACGCTGCTCTGTTCCTTCCCTCATCTCATCTCCCCCCTCCCCCATCTCCCCCCTTCCCCATCTCCCCCCTCCCCCATCTCCCCCCTCCCCCCTCTCCCCGTTCCCCCCTCTCCCGCATCCCCCCTCTCCCTCATCCCCCCTCTCCACCTTCCTTGGTCTCCACGTGGGCAGGCCAAGACGCCGGAGGAGAAGCAGCGGATGGTGGACGCGGCCGTCCGTATGATCGATGACATCATGAATCTACGGCCAGGAGAGCAGCCCAGGGCCCAGGCGCCCGATCGGGCCGATCCGGGCCGTCCTCCGTGGGGCGGCGAGCGGTCGAGATCGTCCCGCGACAGCGGCAGGGCGGGGCGGGGCGGGTGGCACGAGAGGGAGCTTGAGGCGGGGAGGGGGCGGGAAAGGGAGAGATACGATCCGTATGGGCGCAGCGACAGGGGAAGAGACAGAGACAGGGAGAGGGACAGAGATCGGGACCGGTATGGGAGAGACAGGGACAGGGATCGGGAGCGGGAGCGGGAGCGAGGAAGAGACAGGGATAGGGATCGCGATCAAGACAGGGACAGGGACAGAGACAGGGAGAGGGAGAGGGAAGGGTATGGCGCCCCTCCCCAGCACGCACCTCCCCCCGGATCCTACCCTCCTGGTTCCTACCCCCCCGGGTCCTACCCGCCTGGTTCCTACCCGCCTGGGTCCTACCCTCCTCAGGGTCAGCCTCCCCCGTATGTTGCCCCCCCCCCAGGGGGATATCCCGCCCTTCCCCCAGGGACCTATGACCCTGCATACGGCCCTCCTCCTCCCCACGGTTACCCAGGCTACCCCCCTCCGGGGGGTGCTCCTGCTCCGTATCCCCCTCAGGGTGCCCCTGGGTATGGCCCTCCCCCGCAGGGTGCACCTGGTGAATACCCCCCGCAGGCACCAGGGCAGTACCCTCCTGGCCAATACCCGCCGCCTGCTTACCCCCCTGCTGGTTACCCTGCTGCCGCCCCGTCCCCATATGCACCTTCCCAGGGTGGCGCCTATGGGGCACCCCCGCCTGGGGCGTATGGGGAGGGGTACGGTGCCCCGTCCGCATCTGCTGGGTCTATCCCTCCGGGCAGCAACATCGTGCTGGTGTTTGCAGCGTTTGAACCGACACGGGAGTTTGACGCATCTGGGCGCATCAGGGGACCCAATGTGAGTTGACTTCTGAGTAGGACATGTGATTTCAATATTGACAGAGTGGGATGGGAAGAGCGAGGGCGGATGGCCTGGGGCCGGTAACCAAGTGGAAGGGGAAGGAGACTTCTTCAGGGTTCGACCATACCCCACCATACCCCACCATACCCCCGGTTTTTGAGTTGACTAAAAAACCGACTAATTACACACGGTTTTTGAGTCGACTCAAAAATCGGGTCAGACCATACCCCACCATACCCCCGGGCATCAACATGGTGCTGGTGTTTGTGGAGTTTGACACTTCTGGCCGCATCAGAGGCCCCAATGTGAGTTGACTCTGGAGCTTGACAGGGAAGGGGGGGGTGGTTTTGGCTGTTGGGCTGGCATTTTTCTTCCTCCCACCCAAGTGTGCAGGACTCGTATGTGTAACACATTCACACGTCCGTGTGAGTAAGGATTTTCAAGTTATGATATTGCTTTTTCTTTTTCCCTTCCTTTTTTTTTTCCCCTTCTTTTTTCTTTCTTTCTTTCCTTTCCTGCACCACGTGCACAGGACTCGTACCTGGAGCACATTCACACGTCTACAAGCATCAAGGCGACGCTGCATGGGCGGTGCTCCAACAACCACGAGATCAATGGGGAAGGTGAGGGCAGGGACGGCCAAGGTGAGGGCAGGGACGGCCAAGGTGAGGGCAGGGTCGGCCAAGGTGAGGGCAGGGTCGGCCAAGGTGAGGGCAGGGTCGGCCAAGGTGAGGGCAGGGACGGCCAAGGTGAGGGCAGGCGGAAGGTGTGAGGAGGACTTTTGAGGTGTCACAAGCATCAAGGTTACACTGCATGGGCGGTGCTCCAACAACCACGAGATCAACGGTGGAGGTGAGGCGCGAACAGGGAAGATCATCAATCAATGGTGAACATGATGAGGAGAGGGCGAGGTTGAGGTGAAGGCCGGGTGAGACCAACTATAGTGTGAGGCAAATACTGACGGTGAGGGAAGGGGCCAATTTTGCTGCAGGGTTTTTTTTTAGAATTCTCAATAGGCCGGGCGAGACCAACTATAAAGTGAGGCAAATACTGACGGTGAGGGAAGGGGCCAATTTTGCTGCAGGGTTTTTTTGAGAATTCTCAATAGGCCGGGTGAGACCAACTATAAAGTGAGGCAAACACTCACGGTGAGGGAAGGGGCCAATTTTGCTGCAGGGTTTTTTTGAGAATTCTCAATAGGCCGGGTGAGACCAACTATAAAGTGAGGCAAACACTCACGGTGAGGGAAGGGGCCAATTTTGCTGCAGGGTTTTTTTGAGAATTCTCAATAGGCCGGGTGAGACCAACTATAAAGTGAGGCAAACACTCACGGTGAGGGAAGGGGCCAATTTTGCTGCAGGGTTTCTTTAAGAATTCTCAATAGGCCAGGTGAGACCAACTATAAAGTGAGGCAAATACTCACAGTGAGGGAAGGGGCCAATTTTGCTGCAGGGTTTTTTTTAAGAATTCTCAATAGGCCGGGCGAGACCAACTATAAAGTGAGGCAAATACTCACGGTGAGGGAAGGGGCCAATTTTGCTGCAGGGTTTTTTTGAGAATTCTCAATAGGCCGGGCGAGACCAACTATAAAGTGAGGCAAATACTCATGGTGAGGGAAGGGGCCAATTTTGCTGCAGGGTTTTTTTGAGAATTCTCAATAGGCCGGGTGAGACCAACTATAAAGTGAGGCAAACACTCACGGTGAGGGAAGGGGCCAATTTTGCTGCAGGGTTTTTTTGAGAATTCTCAATAGGCCGGGTGAGACCAACTATAAAGGGAGGCAAACACTCACGGTGAGGGAAGGGGCCAATTTTGCTGCAGGGTTTTTTTGAGAATTCTCAATAGGCCGGGTGAGACCAACTATAAAGTGAGGCAAACACTCACGGTGAGGGAAGGGGCCAATTTTGCTGCAGGGTTTTTTTGAGAATTCTCAATAGGCCGGGTGAGACCAACTATAAAGTGAGGCAAACACTCACGGTGAGGGAAGGGGCCAATTTTGCTGCAGGGTTTTTTTGAGAATTCTCAATAGGCCGGGTGAGACCAACTATAAAGTGAGGCAAATACTCACTGTGAGGGAAGGGGCCAATTTTGCTGCAGGGTTTTTTTGAGAATTCTCAATAGGCCGGGCGAGACCAACTATAAAGTGAGGCAAATACTCATGGTGAGGGAAGGGGCCAATTTTGCTGCAGGGTTTTTTTTAGAATTCTCAATAGGCCGGGCGAGACCAACTATAAAGTGAGGCAAATACTCACGGTGAGGGAAGGGGCCAATTTTGCTGCAGGGTTTTTTTTTAGAATTCTCAATAGGCCGGGCGAGACCAACTATAAAGTGAGGCAAATACTCACGGTGAGGGAAGGGGCCAATTTTGCTGCAGGGTTTTTTTGAGAATTCTCAATAGGCCGGGCGAGACCAACTATAAAGTGAGGCAAATACTCACAGTGAGGGAAGGGGCCAATTTTGCTGCAGGGTTTTTTTTTAGAATTCTCAATAGGCCGGGCGAGACCAACTATAAAGTGAGGCAAATACTCACGGTGAGGGAAGGGGCCAATTTTGCTGCAGGGTTTTTTTGAGAATTCTCAATAGGCCGGGCGAGACCAACTATAAAGTGAGGCAAATACTCACGGTGAGGGAAGGGGCCAATTTTGCTGCAGGGTTTTTTTGAGAATTCTCAATAGGCCGGGTGAGACCAACTATAAAGTGAGGCAAATACTCACGGTGAGGGAAGGGGCCAATTTTGCTGCAGGGTTTTTTTGAGAATTCTCAATAGGCCGGGCGAGACCAACTATAAAGTGAGGCAAATACTGACGGTGAGGGAAGGGGCCAATTTTGCTGCAGGGTTTTTTTGAGAATTCTCAATAGGCCGGGCGAGACCAACTATAAAGTGAGGCAAATACTCACGGTGAGGGAAGGGGCCAATTTTGCTGCAGGGTTTTTTTGAGAATTCTCAATAGGCCGGGTGAGACCAACTATAAAGTGAGGCAAATACTCACGGTGAGGGAAGGGGCCAATTTTGCTGCAGGGTTTTTTTGAGAATTCTCAATAGGCCGGGCGAGACCAACTATAAAGTGAGGCAAATACTGACGGTGAGGGAAGGGGCCAATTTTGCTGCAGGGTTTTTTTGAGAATTCTCAATAGGCCGGGTGAGACCAACTATAAAGTGAGGCAAACACTCACGGTGAGGGAAGGGGCCAATTTTGCTGCAGGGTTTTTTTGAGAATTCTCAATCGGCCGGGTGAGACCAACTATAAAGTGAGGCAAATACTCACTGTGAGGGAAGGGGCCAATTTTGCTGCAGGGTTTTTTTGAGAATTCTCAATAGGCCGGGCGAGACCAACTATAAAGTGAGGCAAATACTCGTGGTGAGGGAAGGGGCCAATTTTGCTGCAGGTTTTTTTTTAGAATTCTCAATAGGCCGGGCGAGACCAACTATAAAGTGAGGCAAATACTCACGGTGAGGGAAGGGGCCAATTTTGCTGCAGGGTTTTTTTTTAGAATTCTCAATAGGCCGGGCGAGACCAACTATAAAGTGAGGCAAATACTCACGGTGAGGGAAGGGGCCAATTTTGCTGCAGGGTTTTTTTGAGAATTCTCAATAGGCCGGGTGAGACCAACTATAAAGTGAGGCAAATACTCACGGTGAGGGAAGGGGCCAATTTTGCTGCAGGGTTTTTTTGAGAATTCTCAATAGGCCGGGCGAGACCAACTATAAAGTGAGGCAAATACTCACAGTGAGGGAAGGGGCCAATTTTGCTGCAGGGTTTTTTTTTAGAATTCTCAATAGGCCGGGCGAGACCAACTATAAAGTGAGGCAAATACTCACGGTGAGGGAAGGGGCCAATTTTGCTGCAGGGTTTTTTTGAGAATTCTCAATAGGCCGGGCGAGACCAACTATAAAGTGAGGCAAATACTCACGGTGAGGGAAGGGGCCAATTTTGCTGCAGGGTTTTTTTGAGAATTCTCAATAGGCCGGGTGAGACCAACTATAAAGTGAGGCAAATACTCACGGTGAGGGAAGGGGCCAATTTTGCTGCAGGGTTTTTTTGAGAATTCTCAATAGGCCGGGCGAGACCAACTATAAAGTGAGGCAAATACTGACGGTGAGGGAAGGGGCCAATTTTGCTGCAGGGTTTTTTTGAGAATTCTCAATAGGCCGGGTGAGACCAACTATAAAGTGAGGCAAACACTCACGGTGAGGGAAGGGGCCAATTTTGCTGCAGGGTTTTTTTGAGAATTCTCAATAGGCCGGGTGAGACCAACTATAAAGTGAGGCAAATACTCACTGTGAGGGAAGGGGCCAATTTTGCTGCAGGGTTTTTTTGAGAATTCTCAATAGGCCGGGCGAGACCAACTATAAAGTGAGGCAAATACTCGTGGTGAGGGAAGGGGCCAATTTTGCTGCAGGTTTTTTTTTAGAATTCTCAATAGGCCGGGCGAGACCAACTATAAAGTGAGGCAAATACTCACGGTGAGGGAAGGGGCCAATTTTGCTGCAGGGTTTTTTTTTAGAATTCTCAATAGGCCGGGCGAGACCAACTATAAAGTGAGGCAAATACTCACGGTGAGGGAAGGGGCCAATTTTGCTGCAGGGTTTTTTTGAGAATTCTCAATAGGCCGGGTGAGACCAACTATAAAGTGAGGCAAACACTCACGGTGAGGGAAGGGGCCAATTTTGCTGCAGGGTTTTTTTGAGAATTCTCAATAGGCCGGGTGAGACCAACTATAAAGTGAGGCAAACACTCACTGTGAGGGAAGGGGCCAATTTTGCTGCAGGGTTTTTTTGAGAATTCTCAATAGGCCGGGTGAGACCAACTATAAAGTGAGGCAAACACTCACGGTGAGGGAAGGGGCCAATTTTGCTGCAGGGTTTCTTTAAGAATTCTCAATAGGCCAGGTGAGACCAACTATAAAGTGAGGCAAATACTCACAGTGAGGGAAGGGGCCAATTTTGCTGCAGGGTTTTTTTTTAGAATTCTCAATAGGCCGGGCGAGACCAACTATAAAGTGAGGCAAATACTCACGGTGAGGGAAGGGGCCAATTTTGCTGCAGGGTTTTTTTGAGAATTCTCAATAGGCCGGGTGAGACCAACTATAAAGTGAGGCAAATACTCACGGTGAGGGAAGGGGCCAATTTTGCTGCAGGGTTTTTTTGAGAATTCTCAATAGGCCGGGCGAGACCAACTATAAAGTGAGGCAAATACTGACGGTGAGGGAAGGGGCCAATTTTGCTGCAGGGTTTTTTTGAGAATTCTCAATAGGCCGGGTGAGACCAACTATAAAGTGAGGCAAACACTCACGGTGAGGGAAGGGGCCAATTTTGCTGCAGGGTTTTTTTGAGAATTCTCAATAGGCCGGGTGAGACCAACTATAAAGTGAGGCAAATACTCACTGTGAGGGAAGGGGCCAATTTTGCTGCAGGGTTTTTTTGAGAATTCTCAATAGGCCGGGCGAGACCAACTATAAAGTGAGGCAAATACTCGTGGTGAGGGAAGGGGCCAATTTTGCTGCAGGTTTTTTTTTAGAATTCTCAATAGGCCGGGCGAGACCAACTATAAAGTGAGGCAAATACTCACGGTGAGGGAAGGGGCCAATTTTGCTGCAGGGTTTTTTTTTAGAATTCTCAATAGGCCGGGCGAGACCAACTATAAAGTGAGGCAAATACTCACGGTGAGGGAAGGGGCCAATTTTGCTGCAGGGTTTTTTTGAGAATTCTCAATAGGCCGGGTGAGACCAACTATAAAGTGAGGCAAACACTCACGGTGAGGGAAGGGGCCA